ACCACTGAGTCTCATATTTTCATCCATGCTGTGTCTTAAGTCCATTTGGTGGAGCTGTCACCCAACATCTATTTTATTATGTAGACTTCTATAACCCCATGAACTGACCCGAATCCCACACCCCGCCCTATATCTTTCATTCTTTGTTTAATTTCATACTTATAGGGGGAATACTTGAGCCTTAAAAAGGATATCCTTCTTTTTGTGTCTAGAGGATATGGTGATGTGTGAAATGCCCGTCTTTCTGCCTCAGCTTATTCGTTTTCAATGTTTTTTGACCTGGCCATCCCAGGAGCTACCTTATGAGAACAGATGCGAATAAGATGAGCACGAGGATGTTCCAGAGCTCTCAGATATTAAAACCTCCTTGTCTGGAGTGTGTACTCTCCTGATGTCTTCCAAATCTAATCATCTCTCGTGGCCAGGGAGCTCGTGTCGCAACTCCTCTGGAAGAGCGACCGCTGCAGCCCGCACGCACAGAGATATTATGTTGTCATGCTTCCATTGATCCAAGGAACATTGTTATAATGTGGATATATTAAGTACCAGAAAGTAACTTGTCGATACAAAGACATTTTGACTGTTACTCAGCACCTCTGAATTGCAAAGCTGATAAGTATTCAGGGACTGATCTGAGAAGTCTTTTTTCCATTATATTGCATCTAATTACAATGGAATCAGTCATGAGTTGTATTTTCACTAATGAACTGTGGCCTGGAAATTTGTTATTGCTTTTTAATTGTTTGGTTCATTTTTGTTTCCAGAGGTGTCTTTGTTTCCTAGTCTGCACTCATTTTTGTCAAATTTCTACAATAAATGTCACCTTTGTTCTGGAAGGCATTGCATACTTAAGCTATCTGAAGACACTTCCTATAAAAGTCACAACATTGGTGATGATAGCTCTCAAGCCTTTCTAACATCATTCATTTTATTGTTTCTTGGGTGGGCCCCAAATGATCAGTGATGTCATGCAAAAATGTGGCACACTGAAAATACTCCCAAACCAGTGTGCCCAGCTGTTTTCTGACTAAATCAGTGTAAAAATGAAACCAAAAAAGTCATTGGATGTCATTTCCTGGGGTTATCAAGGCAAGGATAACCTTGCAGCCCTGTGTTGTCTAGGCCTCAGTTCCCAGCAGTGACATAGCAAGATAAACATTGGAAACCGCACCCCAACCATGAGTGTGAGACAGTTCAACCTTCCTCCCCTCTCCCATCAACATGGTTAAAAGCCACAGGTTGATGAACTGGCCATAACAAGTGGAATCTCACCATATCCCTGTATTTCTATGCAGAAGAACCCCTGGGAAATTTCACCGCTCAATATTCCTATTTGCTCTGTGCACGATCCATTGAGGGCGCTATACCTGCACAAAACTAGTCTTTTCTTGTTACTTTCACAAGAAGTAACAGAAGTCACAGAAGTGCATGCCAATTACATGTGCAACATAGCACAGCCATGCATTAACACCTTTCACCCAGACTACACTTAGGGAGCCAAAGTGTACCCGAGTACAAATAAGACAGGACACAAGAGAAAATGTCACCAGGCCATCTGGTTTTCTTCTTTCTTAAAAATTTTCACTGTTAAAGGGACAAACTGCACATTGTGTTCAGCTTGGTTAACATTTATAATAGTAATATTTTACCAAATCCATGAAATTGCCTTTTGCATTTAGATTACCTAAGTTTCAATTTCTGTTTTTTCCTATTTAAAGTTGGGGACCACTTCTACAGCTTTATGTGTCACAGATGCGGTGAAAGACAGCATATCTCGGTCTCTCAAGATTTGGGGGAAACCTACATACTTTTTAAATTGTTTGACTATTGTCCTAATCCATGCTTGTATAAATTGTCTGGTCTGTCACAAAGTAATACTCCAAATTGGTCAATATTTGTGGATTCTCAGTGTTCTCAAAATTGCTTTTATGCATAAAGAAAGTGAGATTAAGAGGAATAGAGTTCAGACCATTGAGCCACTTAATCATCTTCACCACAGCCTTTCATATTCCTTGCATGAATTATTCCTGAACAGTTTTACCAAGTTCCTTCAAAAAGAGGCAACTTTTCAGATGGAAATTATTCTTTTAGTTAAATTTATTCCTTTTCCCTTTATTGTTTGTTTTCATCCTTAATTCCCCATTTCCAACTTACTCCATTTAATTCCCAGAGATCAATTTTCAAATTGAAAATGATCAGGGGGAGGGGGAGACTTCCTCAGTAGAAATTGAATTTCAGTTTGCTATTTTGTTGCTACGGATCTAATACTTTGCAGTTGTCCAAAGGAAATAATAATTCATGTTATTCATAACTCTTGTACATTGAACGAAGGATTCAGAAAGATAACAAACATATTATTTTCTGTGAAGTTTTTCTCATTTCTTATCCTGTAACTTCTGCTCTTCTTGTCCATAGTTCCGTCTGCCACCCCCCTCCCAATTTCTCCTTATAAAGTCCTTGCCTGCAATCTTCAGTAATGAACACACCGTAATGAACAATGAAACAAGAAAGAAGGAAAAAACACGTCTAACTATATCCTGCCCAAAAAATTAACGTTCGGTCTTGGCGTAGTGAACAAAAGATGCTCCTCAACAAAAGTAATCACACAAAAGCAGCCCCGATGGCAAAATTTGATTATTTTGCCGTTCTGGACGTAATTATCATGTGCGTCCTTTGGTGTTCATCTCCCAGGGTAATATGCAGTATTTTGACATTGCCGACGGGATTTTGTTTTCACCAGTGTTGTTGTAGATGCCCAGCAGAGGGAAATGAACTGCCTTTTTTCTCTCAGTAGTCGTGTACCAGCACTTTGGAGTTGGAGATAACAAAGGTAGAAAAACTCACAGACAGACCAACCATTCAATCAGGCAGATTGGTTGAAGAGAAAAAGTGAGTATGCTAATGAATGTGGTCTCGGCTATTGCTGGGAGGCGCTGTGCTTGCCCTCTGTAGTGTACTATTCAAATTGAGAACTGAAATTTCGAACATGCATGGAGAAAAACTTTAAGATTAACCCATCATATTCAACCATCACTCCCTTTGAATATACACAAGATCCTCACTACGGGTTTATTGTTAGGAAAGCACCAAACATTTACCTCAAAATGCATGTTTTATATCTTTGAATCTCAGGCTAATTTGTTAACCACAGTGCAAACCCTGCTACTCAATCCAGATTTTGACAAGGGTTATGATAACGTTTTGTTATTTGGAAACATGAACTTAGTGAAAGAAGACTAGCAATAGGGAAAATATGAAAAGGAAATGTTTGGAATTTAAAAATGCTAAGATTGAGATTGAAGTCCACAGTGCAAAGAAGCGTCTAAGTAGAAGGTTTCTTTAAATCTAAGTCCCTGCCAAGTGATAAACTTTGTACATCTAAGATCATCACGTGCCACATTCAATTTACTGATAGTATGTAGCAACTGCACGGAAAAAGTGTTTTAAATTAAATTTATGAACAAATAACACATCTTTCATCAGCCTAGCTAATTTGTAAACCTTATGTTTTTATCTTAACAGAATTCATTGAACACTTGTTCTATTTTTAGGGGGCTTGGCATTTCTCTTTTAAATTGGAATCTCAGACTGAACAAAATAATATTAAAAAATGAGTCTAGTAGTTCTGCATATTTCACTGACAAGTAATTATGCACATTTCACTGATAAGCAATTGTCAGGCTTCTTCATCGCATACTGTCTTCTGACAGAAAGAAACATTGTGTTTCAGCTTACTTCAACTTATGAAGGAAGTCTCTGAATAGGGTGCATATTATCAATGGAAGTTCTGATATACATATTCAAAATTGTGGTACTCGTGAATTTTTTTCATAGTGTAGAAAAAAACTGTGGGCAAATGCATGATGTGACCATGAATTATCAATAGCAGCAGAGTCTGTTTGTTCGCCACCTGATTTGAACATCTTTGGAGAAGTTGCAGCAGAGTAATTCACCTTCGGTCGTTCCCATTCTATAGAAAAAAATGTGCTTCCCCTCCAAATCTGAGGGATGGAATAAACCCAACTTTCCTGTCTCATCACATGTATCCATCAGATTTTTATCCTCTTCTCCCTCAAATCCCAAGAGGCCCAAGTTGAAACCCCTGATTCCCTCAATCCTTTAGAAAAAGGGGGATTTTCATATTTGATAAGTCTTATTTGCCGTTTGGTATGAACCTGCCGGCACACTTAAGCCCCCCATTGTGGTGGCATGGGATCAACTGGAAAAGGGGAGTGGCCAACTCTAGAGAAGAAAGAGAGAGAGGGAGAGAGACACGGAGAGTGCCTCCGTCTGCTCACTGCCAGCAGATAAGATGCAGAGGTAGGGAGAGCAAAGCAGCATTGTTTTATTTCCCTCTCAGCAGTGTAGACCCACGTCGTCCAAAAAGGAGAAGTAGGATTGCACTTTCTGTTTTTTGCTCCGAATCAGTGCCTCTAAGATAAAAAACATAGAAGTTGGGATTGAGAGCTGCTTGCTCTGGAGTCATTCTCTCTCTCTCTCTTTCTTTGCCGAAAGGTAAGTTATTTTTCTTCTCCAAAACTTCTCTTTGTAAATTTCTCCCTCGGTCAACGCAGGCACTTTCCATGTTTATTTAGTGTCATGTTTGATATTGGTGTTAGAAATACATTTGGTGGCCAGAGTTTAACAAAACACTAAGCTGAAGAGTCAGTCCTGTGCTGCCAAGACTTCTTGCAGCAAAGAAAATATTACAAAAAAAAATCAGTTTTAAAAGTGTTCTTGGCATGTGACAATATCATGGCACAAACCCATAGTCACATTTTTTTTGCCACCTGCTGTATCTTTTTAGACAAACAAAAGGTCACATCATATGTTAAGTGACACCATAGTTAGTCTTGAGTCAGTCATCTTACTAGCAACTGTACCTTTACAACTAGTAGATCTTTTGTCAATTATTGATTTTTAGCAGTTTATTGACCTCCACAGAAATGGGAATAATGCATCAACATACACATTCACTTGTGAAAGACGTTAGAGAGGAAGACAGTATTCTTGTTTGTACCTTTACTACATAATAATAATAATGAGTAATAACTACCTGCATAAAAATTCTTTGTATAGAGAGCAAACATCATGCCATAGGCCTGCTGCTACTGTATAATGTGACCCTAAAAGATGATTGGGTCATTCGCAAAAGTGAATGTTCAGAGGATTGATTTTCAGTCATGTAGAAAATAGCGACAATGTTTTCTTTTTAAATCATAGAAGATATTTTGTACATCCTTGTATTGAAAACTTATCAATCTTGAGGTAGTGTGTGTGCATGTTCTGTGTTCTTCCCACATAAAAATCTTACACCATCACATGGCTTAAATCCAACAACAGAAAGGTTTTTAGATTTAGATTCAGGAAGGGGAGTGAGGCAACAGCTGTCTTCAGTAGCCATGTTGATTATGTTGGTCATATGAAGAGAGACCATTTGTAGTTTGAGTTAGGAGATATGCAGATTCTGATCTACTGTTGCAAATGAACTTCAGTAAGCATTGCCCGCTGATCCCAAATCTCTGGACAACAGGAAAAAAGTGTTACAAGTGTGTCACTGTTGCCTTAAAACAATGAAATACAGCAGCAAAAGTGTTCATGGCTAGTGGATTTTAATGGTTTTAATTGATCTTTCATGTCATCATCAGGTTGTGATGTAACACAGTTGATGATTTTAAGCCCTTCTTGTTTGAAGCATTTGCTTTTTCATTAATACTATTTTGATTCATTTCATTTTGCAGCTCCTTGAGATCATTTATCTCCAATAAGGGTAAGTTGCTTTTTGTGAGGCTGGCTGAGTTTTCCTACCTGGTTGCTCTTTCGGGCAAATGGGAGTGGGTAAAGGGGTCGCATTGGCAATGACTTGACCTATGTCATCAATCCCAAGATAAGTTCACCCTTTTATCACTGTTGGAAGTCAAAGATGGATGGATTCTTGATGAGACTGAATTGTTTTTTGGTGAAGGGGGGGCATGTTTTCAAACAGAGAATTAGGTTATCTTAGTATTTTGGAGGGAAGGGCTCCCTTCCCCCAATTGGTGTCTTGTTGGTGAATTATGGGGAATTTTATTAGGGCAAAGGGTGGGAATTGTACATGCACCAATCATGGTAACACCACACAAGTGCCATGACCATCATCATCATCACCATCATCAGTGGCACCTCAATTTATCACCATTACACCATCACCACACCTTCTCTTTTCCAGTACAACTAGCTCACCCACCACACAGCTACCCCACAAAAACAATATTTTTATGTGAAAAGAAAAATCAGTGCTGGATAGCCCCTTGTGATCACTGAGCCACAGGCCATTTTCTGATGCAAGTTAACTTGTCAGAAAAGTTTGTTAAGCTGAGCAAAATTTTCATCCACACATTGATGGATGTGGCCCCTGATACATCACCAAGTGGGGCGCAAATTGTGTATTACCACTTAAACATGACAGAAATCTGAAAAAAACTAAACAAATCCAACGGCAGAAGGTCAGTGGTTTTTTGTCTTCTTTTTTGCATACTACAGAAAAGCATGCCCAACTGACAATCAAATAAAATGCTCCTTCAGAGTGCAGCTAAGATTTCAAATTACCTTCATTTGAACTTGGCAAGATATTTGTCCCTTTTTCCAAGCATTTTTGTGCCACATTCTTATGATAAGAGCCTCTCCCTGAAAAAAAAAGAATGGTGTCATTCTCTTGAACTGTTAGGGGAAAATGATCACAGAAAGCTAAGAGTGCATTGCCTAGGGGCAAACCCTTACAGCTTACATAGTTTCTCTCAGGGCATTTGGGAAAGCAGCAAATATTCCCTTTCGTAAGGGAAAAAACTCTCTTCATCCAAAACAAGAATAAGAAAATATTTCGATTAAAAAAAAATTCAAGCCATTTCGTTTGATGAAAACCAAAAGCACTCATCCTCTTAAAAATGCACCGCTCCCTGTCTTGCAAAATGTGCGCTCATCCTTAGATGGCTGTCTTGTTTCCATGGCAACGGGGATTGTCAATGCTAGATTTGTCATCTGATTACTAGATGGGATGCTCTGCTGAGTCTCATTAGGATGTCCGGAGAGGCAGTTTTCTTTTCTTTTTCTAATTTTCCCCATGCCGTAGGGTTTCTCTCAACCTCAAGTGCTTTTGGATAATTAATGCAGGTGGTTGATTGCGTGTATCAGGTTTTGCAGAGTTTTCTTAAGGTTTGAGTCAATGTGGAATTTTGGTAATGTTAAAAGTTACTTTAACGCTTTTCATCTTTTTGCTTGCTAGTTTTTAAAAAGGCCAAAAAACAGTTCTCTTGCATTGTAATGCGTGGAATAAATTATCAAAATATAAGAAATTAAAAGCAATCTGTGAAAACCCTCCATATTACATTTAGATCCTAATGTCAGACAGGACAAAACGAAGTTCTTAGGCTGAATGTAATATTTCCACCAATAAATTCCCTATCCAAAGCGAAATTATGCTGTTAGCTTGTATGCTGCCCATTGATTTCAACAAAGTTTAATTCAGCAGCCCTCCGTTTCATTAAAAAAGATAGACATGATTTTTATTGTTCTGAGTCAGCTTCCTTATATTTTGCTTCCGATCCGCCCCGGGATCTTCTCATGAACTTTGAATGATGCAGTAACAGTGTTGGGGTTTCCTAGCAACTTTGTTGTCTCTTGTCTTGCTTACCTCCACTCTACCTTGAGAATGAAATAAGGGAATTCCACCGTCAGTTCTGTTCAACCCTTGAAACAGCTAATAGGTGCCAGATACAAAGTGACTGCAGATTTGTGTCATCACAACACACGAGTCATTCTTAAAAAGTTGGGGGCCTATTTGTCCTTTCCCTGTCACATCCAGCATGTGATTTTGTAAGTTTAGAACACATTCTCTAATTTCCAAGAGTTATTAACTAATGCAAATTACCTGCCAAACAAATAAATGATGTAGTTCTTTTTCAAATTATACAGGTCGGATGTAACAGGAACAGGGAAAAATATCATACGTGGACCCCTGATTTATAGAATGATTCAGATGGATTTATAGTTCATATTCCCATACCCCAAATTCACCATGAGGCAAAAGGGGGCATTACACGAGTACATCAACTGAAGAATGGTTGCATTATATTCAAAGTTTGAAAACAAAGATGCAGACTTAGTGCCACAGTAGTAAAAGGTCGGTACTTTCAACTTTGTCCAAATTAACAGTCTTCCGGGGAAAAAATCAGTCTTATTTTATTTTATTCTAAAATGAATTTTTTTTTATCATTTTCCCAAATGAGGTACATTTGTGACAGACGGAAAGAAGGAGAATTTGCAGCTATAAATGTGGCTCATACCCGCAGAACATTCAGTATTTAAAATAACCAAAAATGAAAGTATAAATGCTGCTGTAGACTTACTGGAATCTTAGATTCTTAAGTTTTTCAAACGAAGTTCCAAATGACATTGTTATGCGTATGCTTTTATCAAGTAACCAGCAAACATTTTTTTCTGTTTTGCAACTACTTCTAAATAAGGAAAGAAAGAGGAAAGACTTCGATGAATGTGACAGAATTGTTGTTTCTTTTTTATTTCAAATCTATTTCCCTTTATAAAAAATGCACACAGAGGCTTTGATTTGGAATCGAAATAAATTGACATGTAAATGTAGCACTGATTATCATTACGAGTGAAGCACAGTGCAAGTAAAAAAAAACCGAACATGATCAGTTTTCCTCCCAAATGTGTTCTTTTACGTTTGACAAAACGTTTTGTTCGAATAAAATCAAGAGAGAGGTTTTAAAAGTTTTAAGGAATTGGCCTTATGTACCTGCTTATTCTTGGCTGTTGAGCAAACGATCTGTGATTGTTGTGGCGCACTCGCGCGACAGGTGTAACGTCGTTGCCAACCCGCCAATTATTTTATACGTCCAGCTCTCCCATTGGCCAATCGAAAAAGCAAAATCTAAATAATAATCAAGGAGGCAGTGCCTAAAGTGATGTCCAACGGCCGTTTAATTATGTATGACATGTACATCTGCAACAGTCGTTGTATTACAGCAGGTTGACTTTCTGGCTCGTCGATCGAGCGAGCGTGCATGTTTTTCAGCTATCCATTTAGTGAAATGGTTGTCAGCGGCGGCACGCGTACGCACAGCACTGTCAGTTGCTCGCAAGCATCACACTCACAAACCGCATGCATGCCACCATTTGTCGTGTAACATCGTAGATCGAAAATTTTCTGGCCAGTTTTAGAAGGAAAAGAGTAGCTAGCAAGCCGTTGCTGGTGCTTGACAATCACTTTTGTCACCGTCAAACAAGCCGAAACACCCTTTCCACATGCACCGACACTACAGCACCCGTGTTTCGTAGTAGGTTTCTTTTTCTTTTTTTTTCCTTTCTACTGGTTCATTTTATTTTTCGTGTTGGCTTGCGGTCACTTTGTATGCATAAAATTTTTATTGCGTCTGTATTTTTTCTCAAGTGAAAACAATGTCCTGTCCCGTATGTCACCACAGGCTCACCAAGTATTCCAGCCGCCAGGTTTTAACCCCTATTATCGCCAGCCGTCAACACGAATTCCCTAAGTCACCCGGTTGGGCCCACGGTGAGCTGTTATCTGCAGCAGCGCCAGGGACCACCGCCATCCACCTCGGCCGGCGTTCCAGCCGACCAACTCGCACCGACGCCGCCCGCCGCCGTTCGACCACAGCCGCCGCATCACGGCGTCTTGGTCGGCCCCGGCGCGGAGAGCCAACCACCCGGTAAAGTGGGGAGCTACGTGGAGTGCACTGCTGACGAGTCGGAGCCCGTCAGGAAACGGCTGAAAATGTCCACAGTTAGTATGGACTCGTCTGCTAGCACCGCCGGAGAGGACGAGGTGAGTTCATAACCATATTTCATTTTTGATCCCTTCCCCGCACCGGTTGGATGTCCCGATTTGCCCTATTTCTTTGCAAGCTCATGGATTTTATTACATTCAGGCATGATGGATGCATAGAATTGTTTAGTCCATGCCCCCAGTGTTTTTGTTCTTTTATTTTTTTTCTTTGTTTATTAGGTATAGCTTTTGTATAATTATAAACTAACTGAACTTTTTATACCCAAGTTTCATGCTTTTTACCAACCTGCTTTGGGCAGGCACGCTCTTTATTTTGTAGGATTTTCATAGACTCCTCTAGAAATTCTTAAACTAACTTAGTCTTGCAATACTGGACTGTTGAATATATTATGTGTGCATGCATACATCGTGTTTACACTTTGTTCAGTGCCATTCTTAGGTGAATTCATAAAAACTGATTCAATGTTGGAAGATTATTTCTTGTGAACAACACGAGACAGTGTTTAGTCCATAACCTATTCAAGGCTGCAGTCGTTGATACCTGATAGAAATATGCACGCACAAGGGTGATTGGACACCCACAGTCGGCGCGTTGCTTGTGCCTTGTGACACATTCATGGCACCTTCGACAGTGGTGCATTCATGGCTTACTGTGATGATTTTTTCCACTCGCCTTAAGCAGTTGTCTCGATGTATTTAGAAACTGCTCAAGAAATGTCAACAGAGTAAAGATTGTGCTTCATTGTGTGGCTCGAAACAAGCAGGTGATTTTAAAATCCGTTTGGATTTCATCATCACTGCCAAACGAGGAGGTGATATCAGACATGAGATGATTTCAATTGATTCAGTCAGCTGTTTGCCAACGTTCCTGCTGGCACCGTTGACTTCCATTGAGCTGCTTGGACGCCACCGGCCAGCTCAGATATTGACATTGAATATCCCCTTCATACATTTAGCCATGGGCTTGCTGTTGTTAGTCTGCCCAAAGTGTGGAGAAAAAAAAAACCTCTACCCCGTGGCTCAGAAGTGTCAGATTTCCTGCATTGCTTCAGAGCAAATATGATCGTACCGATGAGTAGAGTGTTACTGCATAAATTTCATGCAGAGTTTCAAAATAATGTCTGCATTTAGAAGGTAATAATTTGCTGTGGGAAGTTGCCACAGTGTCATGTCCTTTCCGTGCTTTTGCGGCTTCGGGTATTATAGATTTTTTTTTTAAAAAGCCTAGTAACCCTTCTCTCAAACCATTGTGTGGTTGAGTTGATCCGATTCCATTTACAATAGTGATCCAACTGGGCTGATTATGTAAGCATCTTCATGCTGGGCCATTGGAACCTTTCATGGCCATTTCAATGGATGCTAATGAAATTTAGTGAACCAGAGGCCATGAGATAGACTTGTACTCCCATACTTGCCTGTGTATTAAGGGTCATACGGTACCTGTGATCTGTTGAACATGAACAAGGATCCCATCATCCCTACCAAGTGTGCCTATTGCAGTGGCCAGAGCACACAATACAGAAGCTAAAGTCAATTTATTGGACATGTACTCCATTTCCGTCTTATCTGCTCTCACACCCCCACTTTTCCTCAAGTCTGCCAGCAGATGAGTCACTTCATGGCCATTGTCCACCTCATCTTACTCATTATTCAGTGGTGTGGCTTTAGCCGATTAAGCCCCCCTGCAATAGGAGGGCTTGTAGGAACTCTGTGCAAACAAAAAGGTAGATCTTTCCTGCTTAACAACCCTTGGTCATGAGAGCACCTGAAACTGATCTGCTCTGGGAAAGTACTCTTAATCTCTAAAACCCTGTGATCCATCCCAAGACCCCATTATCATATTGACGGATTACCATCCTTGGCTTGAGAAACTAGTGATGTCAGTCACTGTGTACCTTGAAGGACCAGCGCACGCACCCATGTTCCAAGAAATGCTGTATGAATTGTGAAACACTCCTGCTAGCAGCAAGGAAACCCAACAACTGCTTGTGCCTCAAACACTTACACTAAATTGAGTCATCTACCCTCTTCACAGTCATCAAGTCACAGTGCATGAAATTAGGCAAAAAAAGTATGGACAAAACATACTAGCACGATCCAGATTGCTCTGCAGTTATTGGGCTTACACCCTGTGATCAGACATACACCAAGGTCACGCATGAACACACTCTTACACCAAATGCCATTTCAGCACAAAAACCTGAGCCAATGCCAGTAGGTTTTTGACTTAGACACTTTTACTGTGATAATTCTTTCAATCATTTTGTCCAACCAAGTCCGCTTTTGGTCACACAAATATCCAAAGTGGCTGGAAAATGTCTGATGTCCAATCATAATTTCACTCTCTGAATATTGTTAAGGAGTTTGCCTTTCACAGAAAACTACATTTCAGTTCTCAAAGCAGCATGACCCCCCCCCCCAAAAAAGTTCTCCATCTTTGAGAATGCATATACATGTTCATACCGATCTGGGGGAACATTTTCACAATGTTCGAGAACGACCGATATCTTTAACATGCTTCTATACTCTTTCAGGTATATGGTACTTTGATCACAAGTGCCTTTAGATGATCATAAATTTTAGCAATTATGGAGTAAGGTTGACTCCATCAATATCTTACTTGTAAATTATCGTCTGAAAGCATGCAAACAAACACTCTAAGTGCATATCAGCACCAAAGTATGTATTTGTGTACACAAGCCTGCATGATATGCATACAGCACTTAACACAGCGGTCAAAGACTGCACTGCTGAGGCGTCAGCATTGTGCTGTGGCTAACCTGTAGGCATTTGTTCTTCTTGTCCAAGATTTTTAAACCCTCTGTTAACTGCCCATATAATATCAGTAACAGCTAGCCGTCTGCCTCGGAGCATGGCGTGTGTGGGCACAGTTTTTGTGCAGAGATGTTGCTGGTAGTGTCGTGCTTGAAGCCAGCAGAATTTTGCAGAACCTTGCTTGTCGCCGAGGATTATAAAGGCTCGGATGTTAATTTATTCTGGTTGACTGATGAAAGAAAACTTGATCCCTTTGGAATAACCAATGGTTGGCTGGAGGGTAGCAGGTCAAAATGCGCCATTGATCAGTATTGAATTTCCAAAGGTGATTTTGATGTTTGAGAAATCAGAAAGTACTGGAGATTGAAGATACCTAGCAGTTTTTCTAGTTTTAATTGCCAGCAACCTTCCCTGATTTTTAGACTTCAAAACAAGTGATAAAGTCAGAACTCATTCATTTGTATTGAAATTAAAATTTTGTAAGCTTTAGTTAGCTGTTTATTATCAAATATGACACTGTTAGCCTTTTATTATCTCTTTTGAAAACTTCAGTAACTTGCGAAACCACCTGTTGCCTTAAAGTGTGCAAGATGGAGCTGCTTATCATTTTGAGAACACAAATAACCTATAAAATATAAAGAATATGTTAGCTTCCACTGCCCTTTTAATAGTTACTGTTGTTTTAATGGGAAAAAATAAGAGTTCTAGCTCATTGGGAGAAAGAGGTGCCATAATGAAAAGGCTGTGCTCAAGGCTCTTCACTGAAAGTTTTGTTGCCTGTTTGCCCTTGAGAAAAGTACATTGCAGAGTTATCATCAGGGTTTGTTGGAGCTCACTGCACAGTCTGTACAGACTTATTTCATTTTAATTGCTTGGTTTTATTCCCTTTCTTTTATATGCTCTGCTGGTTTAACAGCTACTTAATCCCACCACCGATGTCAACAGGAAAAAAAGTACCAGTAACACCATTGTCATTTGGTTTTTCTTGTTGCCATGGCAAAATGAAGAGGTACCCTCACATTTTGTGGCTGGGGATGAATTTATGCATACATGTACAATGCTTGGCTAGAATAATAGAATGAATTCTTGTTGGGGGAATGGGCATGTGGTTCATTGGTGTGGTGAATTGAATGTTCATAAAATCCATCTAGAGTTGTGCCTGTTTACATAGTTGCGAGAAAGGAAACATTCTCAAAGTGAAAACTGTAGGGGGAATTTATTGCATAGGAAGGATGGCCCAAATTGACCAATGATATGTTGATCTTGCAGTAACGTACAGCACTGTATGGGAACAAACCTATATGTATATGTAATATAAAGCTTAGAATACCCAAGTACATGTCACCAAAAAAGAACCATTTGAAATCCATTGTGTTGGGGAGTTTCCCAACATAGCCAAAGCACAAAAAGAAATACGTTGTTGAAAATATGCCCCATAGCAAGAGGGGGGAAAAGGGAACAAAATCAACCTGTGTAGTAACGCAAGTCACACCTAAAATACACCTCTTTATCAGTCCATTCTGCCAACACAAACAGAGATAAATGTATGGAGCAGGGGTCATTATTTACTTGTGGGGTCAAGAGGCCAAGTGATTGGCACTTTGAAGCACTGTGAGGAGCGGCAGTGATTGTGTGTGCTTAAATGTTTGTATAAAACCGCTAAAAGGGATTTTTTTTAAGTTGTGCTGTTAATAAGGCCTGTAAAACTGAATGAAAGGCTCTGTGTTGTGTGCAGTTTGAGGCATTCAGGTTCACAAATCAAAAAAGTATCATATTTGTGGTACTTTTACAAAGAAATGAGCAACTAGTAAGACTTTCAATTTGCCGGGACTAGCCATTTCTTGAAATGATCCAATTCAAGGAAGCCTGTGGAGCTCTATCTGTATTCCACTGTTTGTTTCATTTCTATGGAAAAAGTTTCATGTAAATGCAGATTAAGAATTTGTTAGACAATCACACCTGTGGAGTGCCGTTTTGGAACTTATGCATGATGGCCCCCTGACCAAAGAATTTTTGTACACACATTTCAGAGATGCGTTCTAGGGTTGCGCCGAAGCAAAAAGAATTAAGAGTGACTCAGGTCGACCAAATTAAATTTTGGTTTCAGACGGACGAACTTAATACATACATTTGCATTGGGTTGGGCCTATGAAAAGAGTGACGTCTGAAACCAAGTCGCTCAGGTCTCATTCCTGAGTACCTTCAGGTGTCGATCTTTTGCATGCTAGCGTGCCTTGTCACTCCTAATTGTTTCAGATGTCAAA